GAAGGGAGCAAGGCGGAGAGACAAGAGGGGAGTGAAGGGAGCAAGGCGGAGAGACAAGAGGGGAGTGAAGGGAGCAAGGCGGAGAGACAAGAGGGGAGTGAAGGGAGCAAGGCGGAGAGACAAGAGGGGAGTGAAGGGAGCAAGGCGGAGAGACAAGAGGGGAGCGAAGGGAGCAAGGCGGAGAGACAAGAGGGGAGCGAAGGGAGCAAGGCGGAGAGACAAGAGGGGAGTGAAGGGAGCAAGGCGGAGAGACAAGAGGGGAGTGAAGGGAGCAAGGCGGAGAGACAAGAGGGGAGTGAAGGGAGCAAGGCGGAGAGACAAGAGGGGAGTGAAGGGAGCAAGGCGGAGAGACAAGAGGGGAGTGAAGGGAGCAAGGCGGAGAGACAAGAGGGGAGTGAAGGGAGCAAGGCGGAGAGACAAGAGGGGAATGAAGGGAGCAAGGCGGAGAGACAAGAGGGGAGTGAAGGGAGCAAGGCGGAGAGACAAGAGGGGAGTGAAGGGAGCAAGGCGGAGAGACAAGAGGGGAGTGAAGGGAGCAAGGCGGAGAGACAAGAGGGGAGTGAAGGGAGCAAGGCGGAGAGACAAGAGGGGAGTGAAGGGAGCAAGGCGGAGAGACAAGAGGGGAGTGAAGGGAGCAAGGCGGAGAGACAAGAGGGGAGTGAAGGGAGCAAGGCGGAGAGACAAGAGGGGAGCGAAGGGAGCAAGGCGGAGAGACAAGAGGGGAGCGAAGGGAGCAAGGCGGAGAGACAAGAGGGGAGTGAAGGGAGCAAGGCGGAGAGACAAGAGGGGAGTGAAGGGAGCGAGGCGGAGAGACAAGAGGGGAGTGAAGGGAGCAAGGCGGAGAGACAAGAGGGGAGTGAAGGGAGCAAGGCGGAGAGACAAGAGGGGAGTGAAGGGAGCAAGGCGGAGAGACAAGAGGGGAGTGAAGGGAGCAAGGCGGAGAGACAAGAGGGGAGTGAAGGGGATATGGGAGAGGATAAAAGGGAGCAAGGCAGGAGGCGGAGAGAAGGGAGGGGATAAAATGGAGCAAAGCGGATATGGGAGAGGATAAAAGGGAGCAAGGCGGATTTGGGATAGGATAAAAGGGAGCAAGGCGGATATGGTATCATGGAATACGGAAGAGGGAAAGGGGGGGGTATGCTATTCCCCCGCGCCTGCTCGCATGCCATTCTCCCATTTCTGCTCGCTTGTTATTCCCCCGCGCCTCCTCGCTTGCTATTCCACCTCTGCTCGCTTGCTATTCCCTCGCCCCTGCTCGCATGCCTTTATCCCGCCTCCTCGCTTGCTATCCCACCTCTGCTCGCTTGCTATTCCCTCGTGCCAGAGCTATGCATGGGGTAGAGAGGGGAGTAAGGCAGGGAGGGGAGAGGGTAGAGAAGGGAGAAAGAGAGCTATGTATGGGGCAGAGAGGGGAGAGAGGCAGAGAGGGGGAGGGTAGAGAAGGGAGAAAGGGAGCTATGTATGGGGCAGAGAGGGAGAAAGGCAGTGAGGGGGAGGGTAGAGAAGGGAGCAAGGGAGCTATGTATGGGGTAGAGAGGGGAGTAAGGCAGTGAGGGGAGAGGGTAGAGAAGGGAGCAACGGATTTATGTATGGGGACAGGGTACAGGTAAGAGTTGGGAGCAAGGCGCATGACGCGAGGGGATAGAAGGCAGCAAGGCGGATATGGGAGGGGAGAGAAAGGAGCAAAGCGGAAATGACAGTGGAGAGAAGGGCGCAAGGAGGAGATATGAGAGGCGAGAGAGGGGAGCAAGGCGGAGTTATGAGAATCGATAGAAGGGAGCAAGGCGGAGATATCAGAGGGGAGAGAAGGGAGCAAGCAGAGATACGAGAGGGGAGAGAAAGGAGCGCGGCGGAGATATGGGAGGCGAGAGAAGGGAGCAAGACGGAGCGGCGAGTGGGGATAGAACGGAGCAAGGCAGAGATGTGAGAGGGGAGAGAAGGGAGCAAGGCAGAGATGTGAGAGGGGAGAGAAGGGAGCAAGGCAGGGTCACACGAGGGGAGAGAAGGGAGCAAGGCGGAGATATTAGAGGGGAGTGAAAGGAGAAAGGCAGAGATATGAGAGGAGAGAGAAGGGAGCAAAGCGGAGTGACGAGAGAGGAGAGATGGGAGCAAGGCGGAGTACCAAGAAGGGAGAGAAGGGAGAAAGGCGGAGATATCGGAGGGGAGAGAAGGAAGCAAGGCGGAGATATCGGAGGGGAGAGAAGGAAGCAAGGCGGAGATATGAGGGGAGAGAAGGGAGAAAGGAAGGGTCACAAGGGAGGAAGAGAAGGGAGCAAGGCGGAGCGACGAGTGGGGATAGAAGGGAGCAAGGCGGAGCAAGGAGAGGAGAGAGAAGGGATAAAGGCGGGGATATGAGAGGAGAGAGAAGGGAGCAAGGCGGAGATGTGAGAGGGGAGAGAAGGGAGAAAGGCAGGCATCACAAGGGGGGGAGAGAAGGGAGAAAGGCGGAGATGTGAGAGGGGAGAGAAGGGAGCAAGGCAGGCATCACAAGGGGGGGAGAGAAGGGAGCAAGGGGGACATACGAGAGGGGTGAGAAGGGATCAAGGCGCAGATACGAGAGGGGTGAAAAGGGATCAAGGCGGAGTAATAAAGGGTAAAAGTGCAGAATGCGGGATGAGGAGGAGATGGAAGTAAGAGAGACCCCGTGGAATCTGGGAGAGCACGGCATAAGGCTGACAGTAGAGAGGGGAACGCGGAAGAGGAGGTGGAGGAGCGGGGAGTATGTGTGCGACAGGGTGAATGACTAAAATACGCAGTGCGGCATGAGGGGAGTTTAAGAGGGGCGGTAAAAACGGAGTGCAAGTGTCATGGCTAGTTGCGACCGCCTCATGCTGAGCGCCAGTTGACCGTCGAGCTGCGAGCAGAGGCGATAAGCGCCCACCAGAGATTGTAGCAAGACGGGGCGTTGCAGGGGAAACGGTGGGAATCCCGCGGACGAGTGCACACGCGGTACGCGGTGAGCGGATAGCGTACGATGAAGGCGCTAGGCTGATTGCGGCGAGCCGAAAGCGGGACAGTGTATGCGCTACGATGAAAGCAATGCGCGGTTGGAGGGGATTTTTACGTTCTAGGCTGACCGATGTAGGCGGAAAGCGGGATATTAATGCGCTGACATAAAAGCGACGTGCGGAAAGCGGGAAGGGAAGCCGCTGTGCTGAAATCAGTTCGCCGCTGGGGGGTTATGGTGGCCGTACGATGTAAGCGGCGCCTGGAATTTGGGATATGAGTGAGATTAGCACTAAGCGGCGTTCGGAAAGCGGGATATTTCAGCTCAAACATGAACGCGAGGCGCTGAGCTTTTCTCACACCGGTGAATTCCTCCCGTTCTCAGGACGAATGCAAGTCGTCCGGTTGTCATTAGGCGGGGACTGGAAAGAGGCGGATAAAGGGGTGGCGCGAAACTACGAGCTCACCGCCTTGATGCAAGCTGGCGACGAGCTCGGCGATATCGAGCTGCTCGGCGACCTCGCGAGAGCGCAAACCCTAAGCGAGGCAGAACGCGGCGACGATGAAAGCGGGGAGAACGAGGGTTCCGAAGCCTGTCGATTCCGCAAGCATAACGCGGCGACGAGCGCAGAGCACTAGCCGACGGATCGCGTTGGGGAAATGCAGCTGAGAGTGCGGAGCGGAAAGGGGTGACGATGGTTAGAGACTTGAGCGGACGGTGTCGCTATTACGTAGTGGGAGGGTTGGGCGTCGCTGGTTATGTATGGCTGCTATTCTCTATGAATTCTAGTCTACGTGAAGGATATGCTGGCTGTCGAGTGAATTCTGGCTCACATGACTCGCTTCAGTTTTGGTCTACAAACTGATTTGGAGTGGCTCAAGTGATAACCTGAACCCCGTGACCCACCCAAACCTTCCGCCTAGATTGTTGGTTTCTCCGCAGGGGTTCCCGCAGCCACAAAGTTACCGTGTTTTCAAGTGATAAACTTTCCCTCCCCGCTCCAAGTATGTAGACCGCAGCTTTAACAACTTTTCACCTTAAAAAAATGTTCCGACCTTGATTTCGTCCACCCCGCCAGCCCCTTCACGCATCATTGTACCGGTAGTTCCTGAATTCAAAATTTCAAACCTGAGGGACCCGTGCCTGTGACGCCAATAAACTAGCTGTTGACAGCCCAGCATAGAGTGTCGACAGAACAACGAACACTACGAAGAGCCACTTGCGTGTACCGCACAATTAGCAGCCTTCCAGCGATTGTGTACTCCTCTGATCTCATCCATAGTCGGACGCCCTTGTATTATCGCGCTTAGATTGAGGCTTTATATACCACAGCCGGCCAATCCATCTCAAAGCAACACGTCAGCACTGCCATCGGCGTCGAGGTAGCCCGGGTTTCCCTCCCGCGTCATGAGCTAGGTAGTGGTCCCAAGACAAAAACCAGCGTCATTTTTTTTTTATCCACTAAGCGTGTTCGAAAAACACGCAGAGGCAACTCAGCAGCTCGATCGCGCGAGACTGGCTTCGTCCGCAGCTGCGACGAACTCAAAGGCAGCGCACATTCAATTTTATTTGATTCTCACCCTTACAACGTCACTCGTTCAGCCGTCACACTCTCACACGTCACTCGTGCGACGCATTCGTGTGCCGTTTCCGTCGCCCTCACTCGCCCCGCTCCACTCCTCCCCGTTCGCCCTCACCACCCCCCGTCGCCCTCAATACCTCTGTCGTCCGCAGTTTCCCCCCGTCGGCCGCAGATCTTGCCGTCTGCCAGGGTTCCTCACGCCTCCCGCAGTCCCCCCCGTCGCTAGCTGTTCCCCACGTCGCCCGCAAACCTCCTCGCGTCGTCCGCAGTTCCCACGTCGCCCGCAGTTCCGCTCGGCGCCGGCCATTGCCTCCCGTAGCCCGCAATTTCCTCCAAGTCGCCCGCAGTTCCCCGCGTCGCCCGCAGTTTCTCCCGTTGCCACAACCGGCCAATCCATCTCAAACGCCATCACTGCCATCGGCATCGCGGTACTAGCGGGCAGAGCGAGCGGGTGGCGCAGCGGAGGCCGCCATGTTCGCGCGCAAGGCGGTGGAGCTCGTGCAGGAGGTGGCGCGATGCGACGCCGACCAAATACTGCCCTTCGATGTACGCCCTTGTAGCCCGCCGCTGCATGCGTCCGACGCGGACGCGCTGCGTTCGCAGCGATGGTGGTGAAACCTTCCGCATAACCCGCTCGTACATCGCGCTCCCTCGTACTTGCGCCTACACTCTGCTTCCTATCCCCCACCCTCCCCTGTGTGCTGGCTGTCACGGTGTGGCAGGCGGACGGCGTGCAGCGAGTGCTGGAGGAGGCGCACGAGCATCACCAACACATGGTGCAAATCCTCCTGTGCGGATCTCTCCCCCTATCTCCTCTTCTTCTCCCCGCCGTCTATGCTCCTCCGCCGCCATCACCAACACGTTTTGCCTCCGTCGCCTCTCGAAGCGAACCTCCCCTGCTCATTCACTCTGCGTTCCACCCCTCACCCTGGTCTCATCCACCCCTCACCCTGGTCTCATCCACCCCTCACCCTGGTCTCATCCACCCCTCACCCTGGTCTCATCCACCCCTCACCCTGGTCTCATCCACCCCTCACCCTGGTCTCATCCACCCCTCACCCTGGTCTCATCCACCCCTCGCCCTGGTCTCATCCACCCCTCGCCCTGGTCTCATCCACCCCTCGCCCTGGTCTCATCCACCTCTCGCCCTGGTCTGCTGCACCCCTCGCTCTGGTCTCCTTCCTCTTCTTTCCTTTCCCTCGTTTCTTTCGCAACCGCGACTGTTTCTTTCCTTCTCTGCCGCCCTCCTTTGACGCGCCTCAAAAGATTGTTTCTCTTTCTCTGCCGCCCTCCCCCTCCCTCCACCCTCATCCCATGGTGCGTGGCGGGCGGCAGGCGGGTGCAGGGGTCGGGACTGGAGTGGTTTTTTGAGACCTATTTTAAGATATTTCACCCCCCTCCCCCTCGTGCCTGCGGCAGGCGAGTGCAGGGGTCGGGACTGGAGTGGCTTTTTGAGACCTATTTTAAGATATTTCACCCCCGTCCCCCTCGTGCCTGCGGCAGGCGAGTGCAGGGGTCGGGACTGGAGTGGCTTTTTGAGACCTTTTTTAAGATATTTCCCCCCCTCCCCCTCGTGCCTGCGGCAGGCGAGTGCAGGGGTCGGGCGTGGAGTGGCAGGAGACGCGGCTGGAGGACGCCACGGCCGTGATGGTGCACCACCAGGCGCTGCTGCGCAACAAGCGCTGCCTCCTCGCCTACCTGTCAGTCCCTGCCTCCCCGCCTACCTGTCAGTCCCTGCCTCCCCGCCTACCTGTCAGTCCCTGCCTCCCCGCCTACCTGTCAGTCCCTGCCTCCTCGCCTACCTATCAGTCCTTGCCTTCCCGCCTACCTGTCAGTCCCTGCCTCCCCGCCTACCTGTCAGTTCCTTCAACTTGTCGCGCTCATCAGTTTTCTTGCTCCATGTTCCATGCTCCATAAAGCATACATGGTGCAGGTGCCATGCATCTCGCAATCTGCTATGCACCACGCCATGCACCATGTAATCTGCTTGGAGCATGCTGCCTGCCATCGCCACTGTCCACTCTCAGCATGTGAATGTTAATTTCACTACTACCCGGTCTCGCCTCCCCTCCTGTCTCTTCTCCACCCTTCTCTCCCTCCCTTCAGCAATGCGCGCATGAATCAGATCCGACGGCTGCGATGGCAGCTGGGCGCAACGCTGCCACGGGCGTTGCAGGAGCGGCTGAGTGCGGGGGAGGGCGAGTGGCTGGCGCACTACTCACAATCACTGGGCGACTACATGGCGGACGCAGGGCTCGACCTCACTGTGGTGAGTCAGTGTGGAAGCAATCAGGGGGACAAGCAGTGCTTAGTGCCTCGCTGTGGTCAGTCAGTGTGGGGACAACCAGGGGGGGATTAATGAGTCGACTCAATAGTGGCTGGCGCAGTACAGGCAGGCGCTGGGCGACTACATGGCGGATGCAGGGTTGGACCTCACTGTGGTGAGTGCCACTGCGATGTGAAGGGGTGCACTGTGGTGTGAAGGGGGGCACTGCGGTGTAAAGGGGGGCACTGCGGTGTGAAGGGGGCACTGTGGTGTGAAGGGGGCACTGCAGTGTGAAGGGGGGCACTGTGGTGTGAAGGGGGCACTGCGGTGTGAAGGGGGCACTGCGGTGTGAAGGGGGGCACTGCAGTGTGAAGGGGGGCACTGCAGTGTGAAGGGGGGCACTGCGGTGTGAAGGGGGGGCACTGCAGTGTGAAGGGGGGCACTGTGGTGTGAAGGGGGGCACTGCGGTGTGAAGGGGGGCACTGTGGTGTGAAGGGGGGCACTGTGGTGTGAAGGGGGGCACTGCGGTGTCAAGGGGGGCACTGCGGTGTGAAGGGGGGCACTGTGGTGTGAAGGGGGGCACTGTGGTGTGAAGGGGGGCACTGCGGTGTCAAGGGGGGCACTGCGGTGTGAAGGGGGGCACTGTGGTGTGAAGGGGGACACTGTGGTGTAAAGGGGGGCACTGTGGTGTGAAGGGGGGCACTGCGGTGTGAAGGGGGGCACTGTGGTGTGAAGGGGGGCACTGCGGTGTGAAGGGGGGCACTGTGGTGTGAAGGGGGGCACTGCGGTGTGAAGGGGGGCACTGCGGTGTGAAGGGGGGCACTCACTCTGTGGTGTGTGTGCGCTTGGGGACTGCACGGCGAACCTCAGAGTGGGGAGCGAGTGCCTCGCTGTGGTGAGTGAATGCCTCACCATGCCCAGTTAGTGCCTCACTGTGCTCAGTGGTCAGTGTGCCTCGCAGTACTCACAGGCGCTGGGCAACTACATGGCGGACGCACGGCTCGACCTCACCGTGCTCACTGCCTCACCGTGCTCACTGCCCCTTGACCCTGGTGTGGGGTTTGGGGGGGCAGAGGTGATGCTGAGCCCGCGGTCATGTGTGTGGTGACACTGCGGTGTGTGTGGTATCACGTGGTGTGTGTGTTGGCACATGGTGTGTGTGGTGGCATTGTGGTGTGTGTGGTGAAGAGCATGCAGCGCACGTGCACTTGCGCGGAGCCGCCCTCCTCTGAACACCACGATGCTCTGTTGTTTCTGTACCATCAATCTCCTTGCCCGCATCCCGCCCACCTCTTCTTCCGTGTGGCCTCGCATCCTGCCCGCCTGTGGCAGGACCTGCTACCCCCCAAGGACCCTTACATCGAAGTGCGTGTGCTCAAGGACGCCGGTGCAATGTATCTGGACGACAAAGTGGCTTACTTGGAGGCCAATACTCTGCACCTTGTCAGGAAGACCGACGCAGAACCACTTATTCTAAAGGTATTGTACGGGTGCCTGTTACATCACCCTTTCCCTATAAGCCACCCTTCCCCTTGCGTCTTTCTCGCTGTACGTCTGTGTGTGTGTTTGTGTGTCCCCCCTTCCCTTCTCCTCCTCCTCCTCCTCCTCCTCCTCCTCCTCCTCCTCCTCCTCCTCCTCCTCCTCCTCCTCCTCCTCCTCTTCTCTCTCTCCCTCTCTCTCGCCTCTCTCTCTCCCCCTCTCTCACTATGCCTCACCCTCTCCCTCCACTGCACCACTCTCATTTTCAGCTGTTCTCCATCATCCTCACTCCTTCCACATTCGCATGCCCTCATGCACATTATTTTGACCCAGGGATTATTGGAACACCGAGAATACTGACAACTTGGCAGACATGTTTGCCATACAAGAAATCTATACTCCGTTCAGCACATCAACAGTCGTGGTATGAGAATGTATGTGCTCATCAATGACGCAGTTTGGAATGACATTCACAGCCTGCAAATGGTACAGTATGTTTGAAAGTCTTAGGCAAAGCAGAAATTGGGTAGAACAGAGGAAGGCGAGGACCTCGGGATAAAGGAGGTTCGGATAGTTGGCAAATGGTGCGGTGGCGACTCGGGAACAGTTAGGGGCCAAACGTAGGCCGAACCCAACTGACGAGAGACCTTGAGATACTTTTTGGGCAAACTTTCATTCGTTCAAATGGTGGTAGGGTGGTATGTACTGTGTTTAGACCTTGTACTCTATGTATTGAAGAATGTACACTGGAATCGCTAACATTCTGGAAAAAAGAAGACCATCAGGAACATACTCTCCAAAGTAAGCGTACATCAAGGAAAGATAATATTTTACACAACCAGTGAACTTAGACTAAACAAAAGCTTTAACTATTTTGAAGTTCTATGCAGGTTATCTATTTGAAAACAGTCAAGTTCGTGTGCTTGTTTGGTTTGGGAACAGCCTGCTTTCGCGCCAAAACAGAGCTACCCAGACAGCCTCAGCCGTCTCAAAAACCGAGTCGCAATCAGAAGGGACTGCAGCCCGGATGTATCAAAAACACAACCCTCCCTAATTCGCAGGGTATTCAATAAAAAACCATTAACACAGCGCTCGTGGTCTCGAAGGTTGCTTCTCACCGCTATATGGAACTTCTAACTGTTGTTTTGACAAACAATTGGGCCCTTCTATTTGCCAGTCAGCATCGAGGTTGGGCCAGAAATCGGTTACCAAAAGACGATTTGAGTGCGCCCTGCCATTTCAAGCACCACGACAACACGCATGGAACTATGCATTCCCTTCTCGTTGAGCGAGATTCCCTTCAACGAGAACGTGTTCTTCAGAGCGAGCACTTCGTCCTCCATTTACTTCCAGGTCGTTACCGATAATTCTATTCTGTTAGTATCCGCTCGCATTTTCCCTGGGCGAATCTCGCAGGAAATCCTCGTACGCCTGTTACTTCAGGACATCGGCGAGTTTTTCCCCATGGAGCTCGCAGCCCTCGGCGTGCTGCTCCTGCTCACATGTCTCGCAGTTCCACGAGTTGACTGTGTTCCCCTTGCCAACTCCCAGGGTATAGTAGTTAATTTCTGTCTTGCTTTCCTCTCTCACCAGTGGCGACGTTAAGAGAGGAAGTATGCGTAATTGACGTGACGTACATGGAGTTTCCGCTCCGAGTCCCTACTACCAATGCCCTCCTTCACATCACCCTTCGTACTGCGGACAAAGGTGGGAGCGCGCGTGTAATGAGATCGGTCTGACCAAGTCGTCCAATCCCTTCACCTCCCACTTCCCAATCCCTACGCCTTCCTTCCCTGCCGCCAGCACGAGTCCTGCTGGACTGTCAGAAGGCGTGGAACACAACGTTTGATGGCTGGGTGGTTGGTGGGGACTGCAGCAAGGCGGCGAACATCACGTGCGATGCCACGGGCATGATAACAACCATGTGAGTGCGCTTATCAGCTGCTAGAATAGTAAGCCGCCTCGCCATGTCCTCCTCGTCCTCTGCTTCCTCTCCCGCCCCGCATCCCCCATTGTCCTCTCCTCCTTTTGCGCTCATGCTCCAAATGCTGGCCGAGTGCCTGAAGATGCACCCGAAGATTTTGATCCGCATTTCCCAGATGTCTCCGAATATCTCCAATTCACCAGGCCAAGTTACTAGTGTCGCGCGCATGTTTGCGTTTTCTTCGCGCAAACATTGAATATCGTTCAAGGCTCTTAAAAAACTCAGTGCAGTGTACGTCGTTCGAACCGCCGTACGGCACGATCCCGATTCGCGAACGAGAAACCATGGAGGCGCGTGAGATGATCAGAGTGTGAATGTTGCCATAGCATCAGCCGTCTTCGTCCGCGCGTTGGAAATATCAAATTCATAAGTGCGGTTGGAACCGTATCGTTCAATTTTCTCTTTATCGTTCCGTGCTTCGAGTCTTTGATCTAAGCCCCCAGGGAGACGCTTCTACTACGCGCTGCGAGTGTCCATTCCTCTTCGCCTTGTTTCTCTGCATAATACGCATGCGAAGTCTACGTTATGCAATACTATCTACATGCGTGTTTGTCTGTTCTCTCACCAGGCACATCGAGTACAACAGCTTCAATGGCCCCCTTCCTGACTCCATTGGCAACCTTGCGAATCTTCGAAGCTTGTGAGTGCCATTCAACTTGAAGCCCTGGTGCGGCACGTGAGGAACGCAACGCAGTGAGGACATGATTTTATTGCCCGTTTTGCCACGCGATATTTCGAATCGGGCCATTTGCGACGAATCGGTTTGCGAGGAATCAGGCCATTTGCGACGAATCGGGCCATTGGCGACGAATAGGGCCATTTGCGATGAATCGGGCCATTTGCGACGACTCGGGCCATTTGCGACGAATTGGACCTTTTTTCAACAAAGGTGGTTCATTTGCGACAAGTGGGGTCATTCTGACGAATTGAGCTATTTGCGACAAATTGGGTCTTGTCCGACAAATCGGACCCGTTTGTCGCCCAGAATAGATAGTTAGACCTCCTTGTTTGTCATGTATATATTCAGGTAGGGTTAGGGTTTAAGTTCAAGGTTGTATTCAAGCTTAAGGAGTGGTTGAGCACTACAACAGAGCGTTTGAACTTCACCTTGAGACCATACCCGTAAGACTGAAATCGAACTAGCCGATCTTGAAACGCCCGCGCTTCAGGATCCGCATTGCGGCCCCGTCTGAAATGAATGGTCGTTCAAGATCCGCCAGGCATGGTTCGGCTTGTCGACGAGTTCCGGGCCGTTCATTGCCCGGTTCTTGCGGCTTGTCGAGCCGACTCGCCATGACGGAGGGGGGGTGGGGGGGACGAGGTGAACGTTGGAAACGGGCAGCTTGGCTTGTCTCTCGTGCAAGCTGAGGAAGGCAAGCTTCCGGCTGGACGACCAGCTCTTGACTAATCTGGAGTTTTGACACATGCTTGCATGCCTGCCTGCCCTTCGTTTGCAATTTTGTCAGTATCCTGGCGTTTACCAACCTGCCTGGCCCCATTCCTGAGTCCATCAGCAACCTCGCAAAATTAAGTCACCTGTGAGTACCTGCCATGCCTTTTTAGGTTTTGTCTCAGATTGAGGCTTTTCATGCCTTGAAATTTACATGTGATGCCTCGAGCTGAGCTGCTGTGTGCTGTTACAACAATGTGCTCTTACAACAATGTGCTCTTCAGCTGTCTTCTATTCGTGCTCTCCTGCTGTTGCTGTATCGTGCATTACCATAAAGGGTGCCTTCCAGCTTGCACCTCCAGCGTGTAACAAACGTTGAATCTTGGGTCACCATGAATGGACATTAAGATAATGCGTTTATCATGAGTATGCTGCCACGTGGTTCCTACTGCAAAAAGCAGCTAGCAAGGCTCCACACGACGACGCCAGCCACGAAAGAATGAAAAGCAGCTGCATACGAGGCGAGCCGAGCCCTCAGCCAGACATAATTGGTCCCAAGCCAGGAGCTCTTGCGGAGATGAGTGGGCTTGTCCCTTCATATGGCACAGTTTGGTGTGGTGTGGTCGACCCGGTTCTGCTTCTCAAGCCGCCTCCGCACGACTGGGGACGGCGTTGGAGACGGGTCGCGGACGGCCTGGTTCGTCTCATTAACGATCCAAGCCAGCGAGTCGAGCTGCCGGCTGGGCCACCTGTTCCTGACTAATCCAAAATTTCCACACACTCACATGCATGTATGCCCGCTGCACACATCACATGCATGACCTTCACTGTCTTCTCAGAGACCTGTTTACCAACCAGCTGACTGGATTTCCCGAGTCCATCACCAAGCTTGCAATGCTTAATCACTTGTGAGTGTCATCATACCATGCTTTTTCGGGTTTTGTCTCAGATTGGAGCCCCCTATGCCTTAATCTGCAGGTGCTGCCATAATCTGTGTGTGTTTTTAGATGTCTACTGAGGCACCTGCTCTTACCTAATCCGTATTTTCCACACATGCATGCGTGCATGCCCGCTTGCTGTCTTTTCAGCGACCTGGGGAACAACAGGCTGACCGGCACCATTCCTGAAGCCATCACCAACCTCGCACTCCTCACCTACTTGTGAGTACCTGCCATACTTTCTTGCCCTTTGTTTCATATTCGACCTCTTCATGCCTTGAGATCTGCTGGTGCTGCCATGAGCTGTGTGCAACTGGAATGCGCTTTCCAGCCGTCTTCTATTCTTGCTCTCCATGCATTACCGTGAGGGCTGCCTGCCGGCCTCTGTACCTCCTTCCGTGCACAGGGGTGTGCACAGGGGTGTGCGCAGGGGTGTGCGCAGGGGTGTGCACAGGGCTGTGCACAGGGGTGTGCACAGGGGGGTACGCAAGCTTTAGTCCAACTCAGGTAGGTCCTCCCCTCTTTTGAGTCAGGTCCAGCTGGCTCAGAACGAGCGTAGCTGCACTGCACTGCACATGTGACAAAGGTTTGTCCCCTCCTCGGTCATGAGCCGGAGCATCTCGTGAAGATCTGAGAGGGCTTTCCTCTTCACGTGCCAGTTTGATTTGACGTGGTCGGGTCGGGCCCGGACCCCGGTTCAGCTTGTCGACGGGTTCTGGGCCTCTGATTGGCTGACACTTGCCATTCGGCGATCTGGCTCAGCTCGACTGAGGATGAGCTGAACGTTGGAGACGGGCGGCTTGGATTGTCTTTACATAAGCCGACCCGAGCCTCCAGCTGAGCCATGTGCCCTTGACTAATCCGGATTCTCGACACATGCATGCATGCATGCCCATTGTGGTATTTTCAGTGACATCGGCACCAACGGGTTTACCGGCACCATTCCTGAGGCCATCACCAACCTCATGAATCTTCGTGAATTGTGAGTATCTGCATGCCTACCATGCTTTCTTGGGCTTTGCCTCGGATTGAAGCTCGGAATGTGCTCACTAGCTGCCTCCTATTCATTCACTCCTGGTGTTGCTTGTTGTAATATACAGTACCATGCGGAGCGCCCGCCAGCTTGTACGTCCTTCCATGCACAGGGACATGCACAGGCGCGAGCCATCTCTGATAATCACTCCCTCTTTTGCGTCAAAACGAGTGTAGCTTCAAGCCCACCTGCCCACCCATCAGGCCTGAGCTGCTGGCAGGCCCACCCACCTGCTCTTGCCTTATCCGAGTTCCCGCCCCATGCGTGCGTGCATGCCCTTCGTTGTCTTATCAGTAAACTGTTCACCAACAGCTTGACTGGCAGCATTCCCGAGTCCATTGGCAACCTTACGAACCTCAATGTTTTGTGAGTGCCATGCCGTGTGAGTGCCATGCCGTGTGAGTGCCATGCCGTTCGAGTGCCATGCCATGTGAGTGCCATGCCGTGTGTGAGTGCCATGCCATTGTGAGTGCCATGCTTTCTTGTTCTCCGTGTTAGATTGAGCCCCTTCATGCCTTTGAGCTGTGTGCTGTACTCTTGGATGGAATGTGCTCTCCATCTGTCCTTGTTCATTCTCTCCTGCTGTCGCTGAATCGTTCATGAGCTCACCAGGTGCCAGCCAGCCTGCAGCTCCATCCGTGCACATCTCAGGGTTGCCTCTCAGAGTCGCCTCTCAGGGTTGCCTCTCAGGGTCGTGGCAGCCTCCATCTGTGCACGCGTCTTCTCTCACCTCCCAATCTCCCCTCAACTCCCATTCTCCCCTCACCTCCCATTCTCCCCTCAACTCCCATTCTCCCCTCACCTCCCATTCTCCCCTCACCTCCCATTCTCCCCTCACCTCCCAATCTCCCCTCACCTCCCATTCTCCCCTCACCTCCCATTCTCCCCTCACCTCCCATTCTCCCCTCACCTCCCGTTCTCCCCTCACCTCCCATTCTCCCCTCACCTCCCATTTTCCTCTCACCTCATTTCCTCTCACCTCCCATTTTCCTCTCACCTCCCATTTTCCTCTCACCTCCCATTTTCCTCTCACCTCCCATTTTCCTCTCACCTCTCATTTTCCTCTCACCTCCCATTTTCCTCTCACCTCCCATTTTCCTCTCACCTCCCATTTTCCTCTCACCTCCCATTTTCCTCTCACCTCCCATTTTCCTCTCACCTCCCATTTTCCTCTCACCTCCCATTCTCCCCTCACCTCCCATTTTCCTCTCACCTCCCATTCTCCCCTCACCTCCCATTTTCCTCTCACCTCCCATTTTCCTCTCACTAGGGACTTTGCCCAGAACAGCATCACTGGCCCCATCCCACAATCTGTCGAGAAGCTCACGGGCCTTGCTCATTTGTATGTAGCCCGAGTGTACACCAGTTTGGTTGGTGCCGTGAGATTGATTCGTGGCAGCAACTTAAGTAACACACGTGAATGTTAGTCGCTCTTTGAAAGAAATGCATGTGTGTTAAAATGGTGGCAATCGGTTGCTCAGAACAGCATGAAGGTCACAATTCCGCGATCGGTCGAGAAGCTCACGGGCCTCACTCGCTTGTAAGTAGGCATGAGGAAAATTCGAACCCGAACCTGGTCGATTTGAACGAATGCGAACCTGCAGTAAGTCAAACCAAACTGAACCAAGTTGGGGTCGAAGCGTGCGTTGTGCCGGCCGGCTAGTTTGAGGTTCAGGCTTAGCTGGTCGAATCGTGGGGTGTTCGAGTCAAGCGACAGCTTCATTGTAATCACAACTGTTAGTATAATTCCTCCACTCCTTTTCTAGAAAGCGTCTATCGTGAAGTACCATAAGTGGGTGTACTGGACAATGTAGTAGAAAGTAAAGGTTACATCTATCGGGCACTTGGTTACACCTCTCTCCCCCCCCACTTCTCATTTCGTGCCACATGCACACACATCCTCCATGTGCCTCACCAGGTCTTTGTCTGAAAACAACATGATGGGTTCGATTCCTGACTCCATTTCCACACTCACAAAGCTAACTTTCCTGTACGTGCTTTTTGGTTTCTGGGTTGACATGTGATCGATGATCAACTGCGATGGATCAATCTCCTTTGCTCTTCCAACCCCGCATTCCCACAAGCAGCTCCTTCACGCATGCATGTTCTGCTATGAGCAACGTGTTGCACATGTTCTGCCATGAGCAATGTGTTGCACATGTTCTGCCATGAGCAATGTGTTGCACATGTTCGGCCATGAGCAATGTGTTGCACATGTTCGGCCATGAGCAATGTGTTGCACATGTTCGGCCATGAGCAATGTGTTGCACATGTTCGGCCATGAGCAATGTGTTGCACATGTTCGGCCATGAGCAATGTGTTGCACATGTTCGGCCATGAGCAATGTGTTGCACATGTTCTGCCATGAGCAATGTGTTGCACATGTTCGGCCATGAGCAATGTGTTGCACATGTTCTGCCATGAGCAATGTGTTGCACATGTTCGGCCATGAGCAATGTGTTGCACATGTTCTGCCATGAGCAATGTGTTGCACATGTTCTGCCATGAGCAATGTGTTGCACATGTTCGGCCATGAGCAATGTGTTGCACATGTTCTGCCATGAGCAATGTGTTGCACATGTTCTGCCATGAGCAATGTGTTGCACATGTTCGGCCATGAGCAATGTGTTGCACATGTTCTGCCATGAGCAATGTGTTGCACATGTTCTGCCATGAGCAATGTGTTGCACATGTTCTGCCATGAGCAATGTGTTGCACATGTTCGGCCATGAGCAATGTGTTGCACATGTTCTGCCATGAGCAATGTGTTGCACATGTTCTGCCATGAGCAATGTGTTGCACATGTTCGGCCATGAGCAATGTGTTGCACATGTTCGGCCATGAGCAATGTGTTGCACATGTTCGGCCATGAGCAATGTGTTGCACATGTTCGGCCATGAGCAATGTGTTGCACATGTTCTGCCATGAGCAATGTGTTGCACATGTTCGGCCATGAGCAATGTGTTGCACATGTTCTGCCCTAAGCAATGTGTTGCACATGTTCGGCCATGAGCAATGTGTTGCACATGTTCGGCCATGAGCAATGTGTTGCACATGTTCTGCCCTAAGCAATGTGTTGCACATGTTCGGCCATGAGCAATGTGTTGCACATGTTCTGCCATGAGCAATGTGTTGCACATGTTCTGCCATGAGCAATGTGTTGCACATGTTCGGCCATGAGCAATGTGTTGCACATGTTCTGCCATGAGCAATGTGTTGCACATGTTCTGCCATGAGCAATGTGTTGCACATGTTCGGCCATGAGCAATGTGTTGCACATGTTCGGCCATGAGCAATGTGTTGCACATGTTCGGCCATGAGCAATGTGTTGCACATGTTCTGCCATGAGCAATGTGTTGCACATGTTCGGCCATGAGCAATGTGTTGCACATGTTCTGCCATGAGCAATGTGTTGCACATGTTCGGCCATGAGCAATGTGTTGCACATGTTCTGCCATGAGCAATGTGTTGCACATGTTCTGCCATGAGCAATGTGTTGCACATGTTCGGCCATGAGCAATGTGTTGCACATGTTCTGCCATGAGCAATGTGTTGCACATGTTCTGCCATGAGCAATGTGTTGCACATGTTCTGCCATGAGCAATGTGTTGCACATGTTCTGCCATGAGCAATGTGTTGCACATGTTCGGCCATGAGCAATGTGTTGCACATGTTCTGCCATGAGCAATGTGTTGCACATGTTCTGCCATGAGCAATGTGTTGCACATGTTCTGCCATGAGCAATGTGTTGCACATGTTCGGCCATGAGCAATGTGTTGCACATGTTCTGCCATGAGCAATGTGTTGCACATGTTCTGCCATGAGCAATGTGTTGCACATGTTCTGCCATGAGCAATGTGTTGCACATGTTCGGCCATGAGCAATGTGTTGCACATGTTCTGCCATGAGCAATGTGTTGCACATGTTCGGCCATGAGCAATGTGTTGCACATGTTCTGCCATGAGCAATGTGTTGCACATGTTCTGCCATGAGCAATGTGTTGCACATGTTCTGCCATGAGCAATTTGTTGCACATGTTCTGCCATGAGCAATGTGTTGCACATGTTCTGCCATGAGCACTGTGTTGCACATGTTCTGCCATGAGCAATGTGTTGCACATGTTCTGCCATGAGCAATGTGTTGCACATGTTCTGCCATGAGCAATGTGTTGCACATGTTCTGCCATGAGCAATGTGTTGCACATGTTCTGCCATGAGCAATGTGTTGCACATGTTCTGCCATGAGCAATGTGTTGCACATGTTCTGCCATGAGCAATGTGTTGCACATGTTCTGCCATGAGCAATGTGTTGCACATGTTCTGCCATGAGCAATTTGTTGCACATGTTCTGCCATGAGCAATTTGTTGCACATGTTCTGCCATGAGCAATTTGTTGCACATGTTCTGCCATGAGCAATTTGTTGCACATGTTCTGCCATGAGCAATTTGTTGCACATGTTCTGCCATGAGCAATTTGTTGCACATGTTCTGCCATGAGCAATGTGTTGCACATGTTCTGCCATGAGCAATGTGTTGCACATGTTCTGCCATGAGCAATGTGTTGCACATGTTCTGCCATGAGCAATGTGTTGCACATGTTCAGCATACTGCGGAATGAATTGACAAGTGCAATCAGCAGGTGGCATCAGCCAGCGGCTAGCCTTATCTGCTGCCAAGCCAAGCTGCCTCTCTGGGTTTGGATAAATCGTGGCCAAGCCGGCTGGGCTCATTCAGGCTTGACCCTGGCAATCCGTTGTCCTGGCTTGACCCTGGCAATCCGTTGTCCTGGCTTGACCCTGGCAATCCGTTGTCCTGGCTGGACCCTGGCAATCCGTTGTCCTGGCTGGACCCTGTTGGCTTGGCTCAGCTTGCATGGGTCCGAATGCTGCGTGTGTCTGTTCCCATGCTGCGTGCATGGCTCTGATTCTAAACCACTCAATCACCTCTTGGAGCACTTGTGAACCAATTCGCATAAGCATTGGATTCACTCAGTCTATCTTTCCTCCACTTGCTCAAATCACCCTTCTATCCTGCGAATTGCAGAGGTCTCTCAGTAAACAAGCTGACTGGACCAATTCCGCCACTGGGCAACCTCCTTGCATGTGAGGGCATGTGAGTGAGCTGCTTGATGTTGACTATGAGGGTTGACTCACACACTTACCTTGTGCTCGCATAACGTTCTCCTACTTTTTTTTTCTTTTTTTTTTCGTGGGTAATGCTTCTGGTTGATTTCAAGCGGTTGGTTCTCTTCTTGCTATTTGAGCCGGTTGTTTATCCAATGCGGGTTTTTCTTCTTTCCTCGTTTCTCCTGTTGCAATTTTGATCGTCGTACTTGGATGATTAATGGTTCTGTTGACAATGCCTTCATTATTCAACACTCGTTTCACAAAATATTCTGTTGCCCTAAATATCATGGCCGCGCTTAACGGGGTTTCCTTCTCCGCCGTGCATCACCTTGCTTGCTGCGTCTGTTTCCGCGTGAAGCCATACCATGCTCGATGAGCTCAGCTTACAGCCTTCATGGAATCTGCAGACTTCAAGGATTATGTTCTCTGGCTTGTACAAATAAAATGCCTGCTGGTGCCCCCTCACCACATGCATGTCCTTCATTCATTTGTGCCTTATCAGATATCTGAATTACAACAACCTGACAGGCCCCCTTCCTGACTTCCTCACCAAGAACTCAGCCCTTCGCCAATTGTGAGTGCCATTCCGCCTTGGTTGACGTGTCAGCCACACTGCACAGCCCGCCCTGCATGCTTGTTCTCATATTGCAACTTTTTGCTCCTTGTGCTATCCATTCAAAGAAATATATGCCCCAAAATGTGTATGAGCAAGAAAACTTAGACTGGAGTCTTTGTTAGGACGACTGACAGCGGTGTTCCTTATTTAATGTCCAATGCCAAAATGCGCGCGTAACACCCATCTCCATCTTCCCATTGCACAATACAATTGCACATTGCATGCATGTCATAGCTGGCTTGACTCGGGCAAAGGGCTGAGCCGTGGCTCAACCCTTTGGTCCAGCTAGTCATTGCAATCAGTCAAGCTGGCGTACACTTTGTTTAGCCAGCTTGTTGTTACCGCAAGAAGCTTTACATGGAAACCAGCAACCTGCATTTGGATAATTTGATTCCTGTTCATTCATTTACATTCCGATGATACGAGGCGCAGATATCTCAACGACAACGGGCTGACTGGCTCAATACAAGAAACAATCAGCAACCTTCAGAATCTGCTCACCTTGTGAGCCTCTCAACTTGACAGACGAGTCATTGTACCCCTTTTCTTAGGCTTACATATAAATCTATGTGTTCACCAGGTTTCGCCACCCTGGTCCACCCAGCACAATCAGAATCGAGTGACTGCCCTCTCGTTCTCTCATCAGCACATGAACGTCCGCTGCGTGCCCTGCCTGTTTGTCAACACGTGCTACACAAATATTTTCTTCCGTTGCCAGGAGTCTGCAAGGCAATCGCTTGACGGTATCCATTCCATCCACGGTTGGAGTCATGAGCACCCTCACATCGCTGTAATTAGACCTTTGAGGCGCCTCAAAAGCCGTCTCTCTACCCGCGATTTTTATAAGTAGCCTGACATCACTGTGAGTAAGTGACTTCTGAGATGTCTCAATAGCCGCCCATTGTTTGAAGCTTGAGCAACCTGACATGATTGTGAGTACGGTCAGGGCAAGACACGTACCTCAAGTCAAGTGCTACTCGCTTCTTCACTCATTCTCAGAAGTTTCGGGGAGTTGGGTGCTACATGGTTGAGTCTATGTTTCAAAGCAATATAGATAAACAATCCAACTAGAAAGCATTTCCCTTTTCTGATCATAAATGCAACAATCTTTATGCATGCAATCCGTTCCCCTGTGTGTGCTCACCCCTCGCTTGCATGCCCTTCTCCCCTCGCTTGCATGCCCTTCTCCCCTCGCTTGCATGCCCTTCTCCCCTCGCTTGCATGCCCTTCTCCCCTCGCTTGCATGCCCTTCTCCCCTCGCTTGCATGCCCTTCTCCCCTCGCTTGCATGCCCTTCTCCCCTCGCTTGCATGCCCTTCTCCCCTCGCTTGCATGCTCTTCTCCCCTCGCTTGCATGCCCTTCTCCCCTCGCTTGCATGCCCTTCTCCCCTCGCTTGCATGCCCTTCTCCCCTCGCTTGCATGCCCTTCTCCCCTCGCTTGCATGCCCTTCTCCCCTCGCTTGCATGCCCTTCTCCCCTCGCTTGCATGCCCTTCTCCCCTCGCTTGCATGCCCTTCTCCCCTCGCTTGCATGCCCTTCTCCCCTCGCTTGCATGCCCTTCTCCCCTCGCTTGCATGCTCTTCTCCCCTCGCTTGCATGCCCTTCTCCCCTCGCTTGCATGCCCTTCTCCCCTCGCTTGCATGCCCTTCTCCCCTCGCTTGCATGCCCTTCTCCCCTCGCTTGCATGCCCTTCTCCCCTCGCTTGCATGCCCTTCTCCCCTCGCTTGCATGCCCGTCTCCCCTCGCTTGCATGGCGTTCTCCCCTCGCTTGCATGCCCTTCTCCCCTCGCTTGCATGCCCTTCTCCCCTCGCTTGCATGCCCGTCTCCCGTCAGAGCCCTTGGCAACAACAGCCTGAGTGGAACAATCCCTAACTCCATCTCCAGCCTCTCAAACTTGGTTCAACTGTGAGGAGTACTAGTCGTTGCTGGGTGATGTCTGAGGTACACCCAGGTTAGGCATGGGACACGGGTCGGGTCGGGTCGGGTCGGATTACGTTGGGTCAGGTCCACCCGTCCCGACCTGGGATTTTGGCCCTAGGCATGAGAAAAAAGTCCGACCCGAGTCGAATCGACCTGGTTTGGCCGGGTCAGGCACGTTCCGGGTCGGGCCGGGGCATCATTAGAGATTGCAACCCTGACCCGGCCTTACGGAGGCGGGGCGGGGGTCACTGACGACCCGGGCCCTAGTCGGGTTGATCCGGAGGAGGGTTGGGTATTTGTACCCGCGCCGATCTGCGCAAATCGGCAATTTCGGCCGCCGATTTGATTTCGCCACTGACTGAGCAAAGCCGGGTACTCCCTCCTCGCCGTGCATCAGACATATCTACTGGTGGTGTACACTGACTGATACGACCTTGAAAACATAGAACATCGTTGTCCCCATTGCTTGTCTTCTCCTCCGTGCAGGGAGGTTTGGAGAAACAACCTGACTGGCCCGATACCAACGACGTTAAGCAACCTCCAGGTTTTAACAGTATTGTGCGTCTGTTGAATAGACCAGACTTGCTTGTTGTCAATATATCTTATTGCATCACCCATAACTCTCATTTGAAACATTCTCACTTATCGATTTTCATGAACGCAAAAACCTCCAATATCCGTTGCTTTCCACCTCCTAGTCCAGTCACGGGACGGGAAAACCCAGATCGTATATGTTCTGCCTTTTCTCAATCAACCTCGGCCCTGCTGGTATATATGTGTCAACACCATAACGCGCGTACCTTGCTGGACATGGCGCTTAATGAAAAAGATACAAAGCGCGACAAGTTCAGAGGCACCATGGGACAAGGGGGCTTTACTGGGGTGTGTGGCGCTCTGTACAGTCCTTAGATTCTGAGGGGTAGATGGCATCTACTATCCCAACCTCTGTTTTAGTAAAAACGAGTCTGAAGGTATTCTACTAGTGCAGATTCACGCACCACCAAGGTAGTTATTCTGCATCTGTTTGCATGCCCGTTTCTCCCATCACCCATTTTCCTCTCACCAGGATCTTTACTAACAACAGCCTCACTGGCCCAATTCCTGACTCCATTGGGGCGCTCACAAGCCTGAGGCAATTGTAAGTAGGCATATGCAAAGGCCGAACCGACTCGAAGCAGCAAGTAGATGGGACCAAACCAATCCAGGTTCATTTTGATTAGGATGCTTTGTGGCACCGGCCAGTTCGACGTTCGGATTTAGTTGGTTGAACCGGAAGTGGTTTGAGTCGAACCAGTTTGGTTCTGTTTGGGGTTTAGGAATTGTTGACGGGCAATCTGGTTTGACAGCGTAGTGGAATGGTCGAGAGTGTTGGGGGGAGCGTATATAGGCTATGAAGGAAGTTGAAGTTCCAACTACCGCTTTTTGCCCTGGCTCTTGCGGCTTGTCTAGCCGGCTATATTGGGATGAGCTGAACGCTGGAGTCGGGTGGTGTGGGGCTAGCCAAGCTGCCGGTTTGCCCAACTGCGCTTGCCTATTCCAAATTCTCAACACATTCATGCCTGCATTCCCTTTGGTTATTGCGATCTTATCAGATACCTGGCGGCCGCCAACCTGAGTGGCACCATTCCGGCGTCCATTAGCAACCTCGCAAATCTTTCTGACTTGTGAGTGCCAAGCTTTCTTGGGCTTCGTATCACAACAAAAGCTTGTAATGCCTTGAGATCTGCAGGTTTTGCCATTGGCTGTGCGCTCTTGGAATGTGCTTTCCATTTGTGTGCTGTTCATTCTCTCCTGCTGTTGCCGTGTGATGCATTATCATAACGGGTGCCTGCCAGCTTCCACCTCCTCCCGTCCACAGGGTGGAGTCCAACTTGGATAAGCCCTCCTCTCTTTCGAATCAGGTCAAGCTGGCTCAGAACGAGCGTAGCTGGAGATTGGAAAAGCGTCGTGGCTGCCTCCCTCTGCATTCTGAATATTGGCGACCGGAAATGGTTGTGCCTGCAAATGCCCACCTTCCTTTCTCCCCTCACCTCTCGTTCTCCCCACACCTTCCTGTTTTCCCCTCACCTCCTCCCATTATTCACTCACCTCCCATTTTCCTGTCACCTCCCATTCTCCCCTCACCTCCCGTGCTCCCCTCGCCTCCCATTTTTCTCACACTAGGGACCTCGCCCAGAACAGCATCACGGGCACGATTCCGCAATCCATCGGGAAGCTCACGGGCCTTACTCACTTGTAAGTGAGGAGCACAATTCGAACCCGAACCAGGTCGAATTTAATAAATGAGCTCAAACCGTCAGTGAATTGAGGACGAAGCGTTCATGGTGCCAGCTGGCTTGAGGTTCTTGCTTAGCCGGTCGACCCATGAGCGGCACGAGTTAAGCAAGGCTCTCCATGTGGTCAACAACATGGTTTTGAATTTTCATCACCTCTTCTATTGTGGCGAATCTTTTGGAAGTCATTGTGGGCTTCACGGACAATCAGTCTAATAGAATGGTCGAGAGAGTGATTGAATGGTTGAAAGAGATACCATGTGGTACAGTGGTAGAATGTGTGGAAGGTAGGCATACGCTGTGAAGGAACTTGGAGCACGCTTGGGCATCGAGCTTGAATTGGGTGAGCCAGTTTGACGTTTCCAGTTTGAGTCAAGCGGAACCAAAACGAGCTGATCGGTTCAGCCTAAACTGTGGCCATGTCTACTTGTGGGTCACATACACACGCCCTCACCATGTGCTTCCCATCAGGGGCTTGGGCTTCAACGTCTTGACTGGCTCGATTCCTGACTCCATCTCCACCCTCAAGAATCTATCTGCCTTGTACGCGCTTCTTGGTTTCTGGGTTCACATGTGAGCGATGAACAGCTGTGATAAATCAATCTTTCTTCTATGTATCTGTTTAGACACTTGAACGGGATTTTCCACTGTACGCTTCAATCCATCAGTATACACTCTAGCTAGCTGCACCTGCTCCCATGGTTATTCCCATATTGCAACAACTTTTTGCTCGTTGTGCTATGCATTTGAAGCACATGCACTTCTAATATCTATGAGCGAGGCAATTTGTGTTATAGTCCAAGAATATGTGCGTAAGACATATCTTCATACAGCACTGTTTTCACATTGCATAATTGTCAAATTGTGTATGCAAGTAGATAGTAGGCTTGAGCAAAAGGTTGAACAACTGTACCCCTTTTCTTAGGCTCACATAATTCACCATCCTGATCCAACCATCGCATTCAATATCGAGTGATTGCCCTCTCCTTCGCCCATCAACACATGGATGTTTGCTGTTTGCCCCGCCTGTTTGTCAAACCATGCCACTCAAACCTTCCAACCACCAGGAGTCTT